TGTCATCGGTAAATTGGGGATGAGGATACATCTAGTTCACAGGGCTGGAGTGGAGTCACAGTGAGATGTCCCTGTAAGCGCTTACCGCTGTAATGGTTAGCTGTTATCATCAGGGGCCAGGGACAAGGGAGGGAGGTGGGGGGGTGGCAGGCCAAGCGGGTGACATCTGCGTTCTGCCATCCAGGGTACGAGGACGTTGTCTGGATCCCCAAAGGCTCCGTCCACATTTTCATCCAGGATCTGAACCTCTCCCTCAGTCACCTGGGTGAGCAGAGGTGGACGGATGAGGATTGGAGGTCTCAAGGCGGGGGAGGTCATTGTGGCTGGAGTTCTGATCCCCATGCTGTCCCCCAGCCCTGAAGGGGGACCAGGAATCCCTGCTGCTGGAGGGGCTGCCCGGGACCCCCCAGCCCCACCGCCTGCCCCTGGCTGGGACCACCTTTCAGCTGCGACAGGGGCCAGACCAAGCCCAGAGCCTAGAAGCCCTGGGACCCATTAACACGTCTCTCATCGTCATGGTAACAGTGGGACTGGGGCAAGATCCAGGAGAACGTTAGCACCCACTGGGGATGGAGACTCCATGTGATTGCTCCTTTGGTCCTGTCGCCTCCCCCCAACCCTCAGGTGCTGGCCCAGACAGAGCTGCCTGCCCTCCACTACCGCTTCAACGCGCCCATCGCCCGCGACACGCTGCCCCCCTACTCCTGGCACTACGCGCCCTGGACCAAGTGCTCGGCCCAGTGTGCGGGTGGTGAGGCTGGGGTGGGGCAGGGGGCGGGCACTGGGCACCCAGGCTGAGGTTCTCTGGGCAGGGCGGGCTGAGCAGGCCTGTCGCCCTCCCCCAGGCAGCCAGGTGCAGGCGGTGGAGTGCCGCAATCAGCTGGACAGCTCGGCCGTAGCCCCCCACCACTGCAGCGCCCACAGCAAGCTGCCCAAGAGGCAGCGCGCCTGCAACACGGAGCCTTGCCCGCCAGAGTGAGTGCCCACCAGGGGGCAGCGTGGGGTGAGAATGCTCCATGGGGTTAGGGGCCGGTGCAGAGTCGGAGTGACAGTGGGCCAGGTGTTGGAGGGATGGTGTCATAGGGCTTGTGGGGGTCAAGGGAATAGTGCTCCCCAAGGCTGTGTGGTCTCAGGGTCAGAATCACGGTGCTCCCTGAGCGTGATGCACGCCCCACCCCACAGCCCGGGTGCAGGAAATGCTGCTCCAAGTGCAGAACTGGGGGGTGCTCCCGGCCCAGTGCCAGTTTCCCTACGATGCCAGTTGTCGGGCGGGTGAGGGCGGCGGGTTAGTGCCCACGTCTGCCCGGGTGGGGCGCCCCGCCCTACCCACTCGCTCAGACCCCCGTCCCCCTTACAGCTGGGTTGTGGGGAACTGGTCGCGCTGCAGCCGCAGCTGTGATGCGGGCGTGCGCAGCCGCTCGGTCGTGTGCCAGCGCCGCGTGTCGGCTGCCGAGGAGAAGGCGCTGGAGGACAGCGCGTGCCCGCAGCCGCGCCCGCCCGTGCTGGAGGCCTGCCAGGGCCCCGCCTGCCCTCCCGAGTGGGCGACCCTCGACTGGTCTGAGGTCAGCCGCCTCTTCCTTCCTGCCCACACCCAGCCCGCTCACCGTGCTGGGGATGGGAGGGGACGCGAACCGGGATGCCCATGTGGGGTGCCCACTGAGGCACCTCTCTGCAGGCATGAGCCCTTTCCGCTCGCCCTAGGGGGTGCCCTTCCACCGGTTGGAGGTTAGCTGCCCCCTTCTGGCCTCCCACGGGGCCACGCTTCCCACCCACTGAGCATGCATGTCCCCTCCAACTACAGTGCACCCCCAGCTGCCTGACCATCGGCCCTAGAGCCAAAATGCCTTTCTCTGTCTCCGCCAGGCCATCCTTCCCCATCCCGTCCCCACAGACATTTAGTAAGTGCCACTGTGTGCTGAGCGTTTTTAGGCACCTGACCCTTCTAGGCACCCAATCTCGGGTTGTCCCCCGACCACCTCCATGACCTTCGCCTTATTCACCTCCCCCTTTTTGGGGGGTGGGAGGGGAGGCGACTGGTGGGGACACAGATCCGAAGCCTTGACCTTGGTATTATACCGCCACGCTCTAAGCACTGAGTAACCGGCCCAGTCCTTCATCTGTATTTTTTCTTTAAATCAGAGTTTCTCAGCCTCAGACACTATTGACGTTTGGTGCCAGATGAGGTGCAGGGCAGCCCTGTGCTCTGTAGGACGTTGGACAATATTCCTGGCCTCTACCCACTAGGTGCCTGTAGTGCCCTCCCCCTGGTGCCGACAACCAAAAATGTCTCCAGACATTGCTCAATGTCCCCTTGGGGACAAAATCAGCCCCCCTTGAGAGCCGCTGCTTTAAATATACCCATATTTTTTCTACATAAGTAAATTTATTTTTGTTTTGGGGGCTTTGTTTTGGTTTGGGGGGGTTGTTTTTTGGGGTTTTTTTGTTTGTTTGTTTTTTGTGGGAATTTGAGCCCTTTACCTCTTAAGTAAATTTTTTTTCTTTGTTTTTGTTTTTGAGTAAATTTATTTCTTTTTTATTTTTATTTTTACTTTTTTGTCTTTTTTTCCGTGTCCGGCAACGGATCGCAACCCTCAGTGTCGCCCCCGTACCGGACCGGGACCGGCAACGGGATCGCAACCCTCGGCGTTGCTCCCGCGCCCCGCTCAGCCAGTGAGCGGGAACCGGTCTGTATGTGGGATCCGAACCCTCGGCGGGAGCGCCACCACGCTCCCAAGCGGCGCATTATAGCAGTGCGCCACTGGGCCGGCCCCGAGTAAATTTATTTCTGATAGAGCAATAGATTACTTACTCCACACATTGGAAAGAATCTACATGGGTTCGCCTTCCTGCTCTGCCTCTGTTTCTTCAATCTGTCAAGGAAGACAAATAATATATTCACTTGAGGGGGTGGCCCACTAAGAAGATGGAATAAAATCCATCACCCACGTGAAGCGCTTTTCTAGCACCGGGCCTTGCCATACATCACTGACAGCTAAGTGGGAGCCCCTGACAGCTTTATTGCTGTGAACAGACTGTTGAACCTATGAACAGAAAACACACAAATACTTCAGGTCACTCAGCTGGGGCTCGAAGTCCTCAGTTGGTCAAAAAGGAACACGAGCAAGGATTATAGCCCCAAAGGGATATTCTCTCCTGGGCAGCATCAAAAGGATCATTGAAAGGGGAATTCTTTTCTCCTTAATAATGTGTCCAGGTCGACCCCAGACCCTTCACACTGTCTCTAAAACTTCAAAACAGCCTAATGGTACGTAGGTACTATTATAAGCCCCCTTTGACAGATGAGGAAACTGAGGCACGGAGAGGCAGAGTCACCCCCTAGGAAGTACTGTGCGGGCAGCAGACGCACCTTTGCAGGGAAGGACGCTGAGACCTGATTTTCCCTCTTCTCTCGCCCCCCAGAGTGCAAGGATGTGAACAAGGTCGCCTACTGCCCCCTGGTGCTCAAATTCCAGTTCTGCAGCCGAGCCTACTTCCGCCAGATGTGCTGCAAAACCTGCCAGGGCCGCTAGGGGGCGCGCGGCACCCGAAGCCACAGCTGGGAGCCGGCGGGGGCGGGGG